AACCAAACGAAGGTGAAGAAACAAGAACGGCATGATTTTATTAGATTTTTGCACCGGCGTCGGAGAAATCTCCGAACTCCAAAACCAGGATTGAAGTCTTTTCGAGCTGCCGGAAAGAGGCACAAGTACGTGGGCTAACTTACATGCGAACCATGTGGGGACCGTGTCAGCGAAGCTGAAAAACTTTGAATTGAATGGAAGTTGCCAACCGGATACTCGCCCAAGCACACAACATATGCATACAACCCGAAACTACTGCTGCTGGCGTGTGTGCGCAACAGGGCCTCATGGGTATGTTACTGGAGATAGCACCGGCCTTTGACATCGCACCGGGGTGCCTCAAAAAACCTCAGCGATATCATGGATTTGTGGAAGGCCCTTTGTGGAATTTACGCACCGGGGGCGAAGAGATGGCGCCGGGGTGCCAAAAANTTGACATCGCACCGGGGTGCCTAAAAAACCCTCAGCGATATCATGGATTTGTGGAAGGCCCTTTGTGGAATTTACGCACCGGGGGCGAAGAGATGGCGCCGGGGTGCCAAAAAAGCGAAAAAAATGTGTCAAACAACGATTGCACGTGTCATCTCGCCGCCTTTTACGGGACACATATCAATGAAGCCACTTAAAACGTCTAGATGCAGACTGACTTTGTCCCGAAACGCTTCGCCAAATGCCTCGTGGAGAACGGTAGCACAAGCCATCTCCTCGCCAGAAGCAGGCGATGGTCTGTACTACTTACTTGCTGGACTTCGCGCGCTGAGCCTCGAACTCCTTAGCGGCGAAAGGGGTAAACCTCTGCGAGGCGCTGTTGACAAGTTCAGCCCTCTCTGCCATCTGGGAGGCGGTCTTGTCCAGGATGTGCTGGGCCATGTTGTAGAGCGGCAACTTCCTCCCCTGTGAATGAAGTAACGGCGACACTGTTAAGACCTTGGTGACGAGAGCAGATACCTTGACTCGTTTTGGCTGCTGACATCATTCCCGTCTTGACGTACTCAAGCACGACGTCTTCCCTGTCGTGCTTGCTTGGTGGCCTGTACAATGCGCACTTCTTGTGGTGAATGAGAGCAGTACTAATGTGTGAAGACATTTTGACACGAAGGGCGAAACGCCGCCGCACCCTGCGTCTTGAGGAGGTTGACCTACCATAACCTACAAAGTTCGGCACGCCGTCGACCTAAGGGAGAGTTAGTACCGCGTCTGCCGCCCCGTCAACGTCACTCGCCCTCACCATTCCTCAACATCACTCGCCCTCACCATTTCTCAACGTCGCTCTTGAAATAACCACGCTGTCGAAGATTCGGTCCGCGTGCTCGCCACCAATTGAAAATACCACTCAACACGACGGGGTGATGGGGCCACACTAACGCACGCTCGACTCGCCAAGAGTAGAAAGAATCAAGTTGCCTCAAACTGCGTTCGCCGAGGACAAATTTCGACAGCCGTCACTTGGGAAGTTGGTCGAACAAACGCTAAAACAGCTGTTAGGACACCCGTCCAACCCCTACGAACAATCAACCCTTCCTTACCTGCAGGCCTACCATAGCCATGTTTTGCTCGGCCGCGTTGGACAACACGGCACCCCCGATGGCTGTGTCGGTGGGTCCAGCGTAGTGCGTCCACTTGACAAGTTCGTGGGGTTTGGTTGGGTCCAATAGAGCGGCGTAGGCTTTCGGCTTCGTTGGCTTGACCTTGGTGTCCATGATGTCCATGAACTTGGTGCGGGTTAGCGCCCTGGCTGCGTGGTAGAGCCAGTGGGTCACAGTCTACCGAGGCAAACGAGAGCACATGAAAAGTTGGGAGAAGAACAGTATGTCAGCACACGCATTCTGTTTTGAGCGAAAATCTACGGGCCCGCTAGATCGTCGCAGAAAATATACGGTATGGGTGTTGCAACTATGGGAGGAGTGGAAACCAACACAAAGTAATGCCCAACATCAGGTCAAAACACTTACACACTTCAACACAAATAGGATACACAAGCTTAGATTGGATACAACTACAAGACTCCAACTACAAAGTGCACTGTTGTATGCTTGGCACAGCAACTACACGTGACTTCGGCACATCTCAATGAAAAGTTGTGGTAGACATTCGTACCCCTTTTCAACCCAAGGTTTTCGTCTGACATCACACGCACCCACCGGTTTTAAGCAGCGGGATCTGCACGCGAATGTCAACCAAACCCTCCAAAACTCGTGCCCAAGATTTATGGATTTCTCCCGTGCCATGGCAATTGCTCTCCATGCTCAGTATGAGATATCACCGTATTTTGGAAAAAACGGAAAAAAATCGTTTTCGACGACCGCCCAGCCCCACGAAACAGAGATGCATCATCTCATCAACTCCTAATTTTGCTGCTGGTGCCGTACATACAGTTATGGATGTAGGTTGCGAAGTGGTCATGAGGGGGAGAGACTTGAGGGTGTAACCCATCCTAAGGCTGTTTGCTACCGGGAGAAAGGAACGGCACGAACACACGCGCAATGTGACTGACGTCTATCTTGTCAGCCGGTTGGTGCGGTCGATGAAATCAATACAAGGTGAAACCACACACAAACGCACGTCGGGTCGGTAGGTTGTAGTCCTTTCCCGGGCGAGAGGCAGCCGCAAGGGGCGAGCAATGTCCTGCAGCTGAAATGCACAGGAGATAAACGTGCACACCCGCCCGAGCAGTACATACGAGGCGAACTTCACAAGATTTCGGTCGTGGGTGGGCTTTTGGTGTTGCAAGAATTCAGGGGGACAAAGACAGACAGGCTCTTCGGTTGTGACGAGAGACAGGACAGAGGAACCTGCACTACTATGTGTGTACTTCCATATTTCGAATACAAAGAGAAGGGTGTGAGTCGTGTGTTGTACAGGTGAATACACTTTTACACTTGTGCGCGAAGTGCCTACACCAACAGAGGCACAGGGTCACAACTCCTCTCACCTGTCCAGGGGCCTCGGGAAGTGCTTTGATGTGATGACGAAGGCACCACCTCCACACAGTGTTGGGCGCGTGAAAGGTGATGGCAGGTTGGTGCGACTTGTGCTTGTCCGTGAAGAGGGTGGTCTTCGGGCTGTTGAGTTACCTCCGCCATTATTCGATAAAGTTACACCATTAGACTGGTCACCATTAGATAGACTAGTCAGCGCTGACTAGTCTATCTAATGGTGACCAGTCTAATGGTGTAACTTTATCTTACAATAGATACTGACCATTATGTTCTTTTCAGTCAGCGCCAGGCGAGGAGTCCGTCCCCGGAGATCCAAGCCATATAGACCCCAGAAATGTGATCCAGCCGGGTGCAAATGAGCTCTGAGCATATTTTTTTATTCGATAAAGTTACACCATTAGACTAGTCAGCGCTGACTAGTCTAATGGTGTAACTTTATCTTACATGGATGTGATCGATTATTCGGGTGGCTCAGTTGTGTGCGATGGGACTGTAGAGCAGCTCGACCATTACGGGCCGTAGGGGTAGGTAACGTCGTGCAGGCGTGTTGGAAAACGTGTTGTATACGTGTTGTATCCGTGTTGTATNTGGATGTGATCGATTATTCGGGTGGCTCAGTTGTGTGCGATGGGACTGTAGAGCAGCTCGACCATTACGGGCCGTAGGGGTAGGTAACGTCGTGCAG